CCACATTTAGCAATCATTCTTCTCATAAATGTTTTATACCAACGTTGTGCAATGCGGGAAAGCATGGGAAATGCTTTCACAACTGTGAATTTCTGTCCCTCGCCGTATTTTCCCAAATATTTCTTAGCTACCAAAGGAATAAGTCTCTTTAACTCGTCTATGGCATCCTTTGTCGACCAAAAGTCTAAACCAGATTTTATTAGATCGTTTTTTGACGAATCTAAACCTCTCAGAAGTACAGTTTCGAACATGTCTTGTCGCACAAGCTCAGCCATTTTCAAAACACTTCCCACTTAGCCTGCGAACAGGCTTTTCCGGCCCGCATTAAAAGCCTACTAATGAAGCCGCTGCACAAGCAGATCGTGGTAAAGAAATGGCCGGAAATTGGGAAAAAATCCCCAGCGTGGTACGTCACCGCTGCCCCATTGGCTGGCGTCTCTATTTTCCTGTACCCTGGCATTTGAAAGTCCGTCCCGAATGGATCTATTTCGTGCTCCTCGACTCTCACCACTGGAGGTTACTCTTCGGTCTCCTTCATTTGCTTTACAGGCTTACGTACCCTTACCGGTGCCTCGGATTTGGTAGCCTTGTTCTGGGCTTCGGTACTGGCCTTTCCTTAGGGAGCTTTGTTCTGGGCTTCGGTACTGGCCTATCCCTGGGGAACACTGTCCTCGGCTTAGGTACTGGTCTCCATGGACTCACACCCTCTGGTATGTCAGGTGCCTTCCTAGTAGGTCTCACGGGTTTCAACTTCACCTCTATGCTATACCTACCCGACCCCACCTTTGTTACCACACTGTCTGCGGGTATTGTGGGTCTCACCAGTTTCTGCGCTTTGAACCTATCCGCTACACTTGGTCTCTTGGGTTCAACTGTTTTTTTGTCTTAATAGCCTTTCGGCTACAGTCTCTCTCTTCTTTGGTTCGGAGGTCGTCTTTTGTGACTCAACTGCTTTTTGTTTCATTGTCTTTTGGTGATGGTCTCTGCCTTTGGTGGTCTGCCTCTTTTCTTCGGTATCCTGGGTTCTCGCTCTACCTTGGCCTTTGGAGGTCTGCCTCTCTTCTTTGGTATATTGGGTTCTCCCTCTACCTTGGCCTTTGGAGGTCTGCCTCTCTTCTTCGGTACCACTGGGGACCGCTCAGCCTTTATCTTTTCTACTGCCCTCTGTATGATCTCTGAGTCTGTCTTCGCTGTACCACCTGAGAACTCCGGCACTCCAGGTGTTCCTCTCAGTCTGTCATGAGCTAGGGCTATCAACTCGGCTGCTTCCCTTTGGCGCTCTGAGTACTTCCACTGTGGTGCTGTCCCTCTTTTCTTCTGGGTGGCACTACTCACGAACTTCTTACGTGGTCTTGTTACTATGTAATTCTCGTCAGTCCTAGACCTTATATGCTGGGGGTCCTCTATGAAATCCATCACTTCCTGCTCGAACTCGGCGCTGTCCTCTGGGATGTTTCCACTGAAGTAACTACCAAGTGCTAACAACTCTTCCATGCTAATCTCTGACTTTGTTGAATCCATTTTTTCGTTCGCTCTCCTGTACTATATGTACGAAAAAAATTTGGGTATTTTCCGATTAATTAATTTGGAATTAATTTATATTTAATTATATTAATATTAAGGTTTATTTAATTATAGTAATGTTTAATTATATTAATATTAATAGTAAGATTTATTTAATTATATTAATATTAAGGTTTATTTAATTAACGACCCCTCCAGTGCGCTCCATCCATCTATCGTAGTATTGACATCCTTTGGGCTTCCATCCCAGATCAACAAAGACTTTTCCGTACAGACGGTCCTCTAGTTCGTTAACTATTCTTTCTGTGCTGGTGTCCTCAGGAGGTCCCTCAATTCTATTCCATTCATACTTGCTAACCTGATCTAACTACCTTCTGAAACTGATTCCTTAGTACGAGTCTGTGTTGGTTAGGTACATGTTTTAATAGTTGTCTCTCAAACCATCGCACCCTACTGTGTGAAGTCTTTTTCTTGAGATAGTCGTCCTTGTTGTGATTGTAGCTAACATAGTATGAAAAGTTGTTCATCTCACATACTCAACAATTTGTGCATGTGTCGGCCCCATCTTGTATTATAATGGATTTACTTCCACACTCACTACATATAGGATCGTACGGGTTTCTCCTCTCTATTGTCTCAAGTTCTTTCATTGTATTTGTCTTCTTGCTTACCTTTACTATTTCCTCCGGTGTTGCCTCACATAACCACTCCATTCCCCTATACTAATAGAGCTGTAAAAAATACTGTTAATTTATCATAGCATTAAGTAGGCTGCCCCTCCCACCGCTCCACCTACAAGTAACCCAAAGAGTGCCATGTATTCTTCCATCTCAGTGCTAGGTTTGTAGTGGTTGCTTAGTTGCGGCTTCTTAGGGGTTGGTTTCCTGGTTAGCTCACCGATTCTCCTAACTAGCTCCAGTGATTGGTTTGTTGACTTGATATCACTATTTGCTTCAGCTAGTTCTTCCCTTAGTTAAGCTATTTTGTTTTTCCTATCAGTTACCTCTTCAAGGTACTTCTCTCTTTCGGCTGTGAGGGCCTCCATTGCCATGTTATGTATCTTTGCTTCTTCAGCGTATCCGTTCTTATCAAACATCTTGAATTGGTATCCTGCTCCTGAAAAAGCAAATGCATTGAAGAGTCCTCCTGCCACTGCTCCAGCCATTGTATAATTCTACCTAGGTTTTGAATGGATCATCAGGTAGGTACTTCTTTTCTTTCAGGTAGGAGACCAGTAGAGATGAAAGACTAACTGAAACAGCTAACTTCAACATTCCTTTCACATTCTCTGGGGTACCTAAGGGTTCTTTCAATATCTTCTTCGATGTCATTGATATACCAACTGCTCCTGCTATGAGTAGTACTGCGTCGTACACTTCCTTGCTCATCTTTGATTTTGTACTCATCTTGTTATAATATATGGTATGTTTAACGTGTCACTCAAGGGTGTCCATAGTGGATCTATCAGGCTGCTTTTCTATTGATACAGTTGGTAGTGTGTACTTAGGTTCAAGTGCTTTCTCTTCCCTCTGGTTCATCCTGAATGTTATGACTAGGGTGATGAACGCAATAGCTATCCCTACGTATGTAATCATGCTACTACAACCAGATGACTCATCAGATTCTGCCTGTTTCTTTTTCCTCTCCTTTGCTATCTTACTGATTGCCGCTAGTCGCTTCCCTGCAGCTACTCTCCTGGGGTCCTTCTTCTTTTCACTTGTTACTGGTACATGAGTTTGCTCAGGTTTATCTGCCATTCTACTTGTAAGGTTTTACTGGGTTTCATCTTACGAGATATCTTGAATTCTACTTGAGAGGTAACTCAATTTTACTTGCAAGATAATTCAAATCTACTGGTGATCTAACTGGGATCTACTTGTAAGATAACTGGTGAGATAACTTGAATTTGCTTGTGAGATGTCTCTGAGATAACTTGAGTTTGCTCACAAGATGCTGGCCGGTCTGAGTGGATTGCTTAAAAAATGCCCGACATATGCTGCCGAGCATCTTTTAATTTTGTGGTAACTGCTTAGTATTTGTGACCTGTGAACTTAGGTCGGTAGCATGCCGCTGCTTCACTGAGTTTCTGCTTAAATATGTTACATTGCTTTTTCAGGTTTGTGGTTTCTTTCTTATGCACACGTAGATCTACTCTGAAGTACTCATGTATCTTAAGCACAAGGTCTGTGTAGTCATTGGAGAACGTTGTTTTGCAACCTAGTTGAGTTAGCCTTCCAAGCCAGCCCACTTGGTTTTTCCTAATCTCACAGGTGCTCTTAGTGCTATTGCAAATCCTGTGTAACCATTCATGGGATTTGCAATTAATATATGGGCTGTCCACCTAGGTAGCCCTTACGAAATGCGTCACTTCTACGTTGAACAGTATCCTGGTATTCACCTAGGCCCGCTATGATCAGAGCGTCTGGGTGATACTTACGGATGTACCTAATGATTGCATAATGGAGGTCAGTCTCATCATATATAGTTAATAGAGGGGATGGTTTGAAAACTCATTAGCATTACAATAAACCTCACTATCTATGTTTTTGTTCAGGTTTATGCAAAAATGTGGTCTTTCATCGTCACGTGCGTATTGTATTTTTGCTCAACCAGCCAATCGCAACGAGTTTGTCCAATTGCTCATCCATGACTTTAACAATAGGACATGTTGAACATTCCTATTGGTTGACTTGAGAAAAATACAATACGCACGTGACGATGAAAGATCACATTTTTGCATAAACCTGAACAACATAGATAATGAGGTTTATTGTGATTTTATTGTAATGCTAACGAGCTTCCAAACCATCTCCTCTATTAACTATGGTCTCGTTGAGTAGATTCAACTGTTTACCATCGAGGGGCTTATGTTCTGGTAACTCATATGAACCCGTTTTGCGGATTGATGGAAGTATATCCTTAAATACCCAATCTTGAAAGGCCTCGGCAATTGGAAGTCTGGGATTAAAGATTAGCTGGTACAGACCCGGTTCGTATAGTAAAACTGTACCCGACTGACTCCCGCAAGGGGGTAGCGAATCGCGACCCCCTTGTAAATTTCCTAATGTTGTCGCATTTTTCTTCCACACATGCTTTTTAATAGCATCTCTTGTATTCACGTATCCCAGTGATTCCGCCACATCTTTTGCGTAAAACAGTACCTCCCCATCCCTCCTCACAGTTCTTACACTCACGTTAAGTTCTTTGTTCTCAAATAGTTTTTCCATTGCACCTAACATTTTTTTACAATATACAATCAAATACTATCGTATTAAATTAGCTATTAAAAACAATCACATTTAATAGCAAACAAGCAACTGTGTTACTGCAACAACGGAATGAACTTATTGGGATGAACTTATATGATACTATATGATACTGTATGATACTATATGATACCATATGATACTGTATGATACTATATGTTACTATATGATACTATATTATATTATATGATACTATAGGATACTGTATTATATATTATGTATGATACTATATGATACTATATGATACTGTATGATACTGTATGATATTAAATGATACTATATGATACTATATGATACTATATGATACTATATGATACTATATGATACTATACGATACTAGCTCTATGATACTGTATGATACTATATGATACTGTATGATACTATATGATACTATAATGATACTATATGATACTGTATGATACTGTATGATACAATATGATACTATATAATACTGTATGATACTATATAATACTATATGATACAATATTATATTATATGATACTTTATAATATAGCATTTGTAAATTCTGAACGCTGATTGGCTAAGAGCCGTGTTGATATAACTCCATGTCAACACGGGAAATTTTCCGCCGCTTGTAACACGGAAATTTTTCTTATTCTTCGGGCTTTTGACATT